CAGTCGGCCGCCTCGACCTCCTTGCAGCGCCGCCTCGCACCGCGGGAGTCTCTCGGCCCCTGCCCCGCCGCCAGGTCGAGCTCCCGCGCGCCCTCCTGGCCGCACTCCACCGTCGCTCCCTTCGCTCCCGCCGCCCCCACCCTCTCGGGCTCCTCGGTGGCCTCCTCCGGGCTGCCGCCGCCCTCGCCCGCCAGCGCCCCGCACGGCCGCGCGGCTCGCTTCGAGGAAGGGGAAGGCGCCACGAGCAGAAACTCTTGGCGCTCCGGGCGGATTGCTCGGATCCGCGCTGGGTCCCCCCCTCCTCCCTGGCGCGCTGGGTCGCGCGCCAGGGGCGGCGCCGGAGGCGCCGCCGAGGCGGCCAGGAACTTCGCGCGGAGCGCCGACGGTTCATGTTTGTGGCGCTTTCTCTTCTTCGGTCGCTCTCGGTCTGCACCCCCAGAGGGTCGTCCTCGGCCGCGGCTGCGGGGGCAGGCGCCTCGGCTGCGCCTCCGGCCAGCTGCCCGCCCGCCTCCGGGCAACTCCAGGGCGGAGGCAGCAGCCGCGTGCTCGCGGGGCGCCCCGGCTGCCCGCCGCCCGGGGCTGCAGAGGCCGCCCGGCGGGCAGCGTCGCGCGCCGCCTGCGCTGGTCGCTGGTCCCAGCCCGAGCCGCCCACCAGGCCATCCCTAACCCAGCCCGAAGGCCCCGGGTTGCCCTCCACTTCCAGTCGAGGTGGGGGTCGGGGAACTCTGAACCAGCACGTGTGGAGCTCGTCCCCCCTCCCCCTCCCCCCAAATCCGAAATTCGGGTCTTCGGGGTAGGTGGGGGTGGTCGGGCAGGTAGTCACTCCAGGCCCTCGAGCCGAAACTTGAGCCAAAATGGCTACGGACGGCGACGAGGAAGGCGACGGGCTGCAGGCCTAGGAGGGGGGGCTTTGCCTCGCTCTTCCCTCCTCCTCGCTCCCTGCCCTCCCGCCCTCCCCCCTCGCAGGTTCCTCGGAGGCTCGTGCTCACCACCCGTGGAGCGCACTTGGAGACATCCCCACCAGGGCTGTTCTGGCGCGCGCTGTGCCCAATGAGGCCCCGTAGAGCCCCTCGGTTCGGCTGCCTCCGACCGCGACGTGGATCCGCGCCGCCGTGACCAAACAATTTTGGGAGTAATTTTGGGCACACGCTCGACGTGGAGGTCACACTATGATGCTGCAGAGTTCCTCTGACTCGTCGCGCGCAGGAAAGACACGACGTGATGGCTGCATAACTTGTGGAGCGCACTCAGAGCTGTCACCACTTGTCCTGTTCTGACAGATGCTCGACGCGGAGGATACTTTCTGATGTTGCGAGGGGACGGGGGGGAGGGGAAGAGGAAGGGGAGGGGGGTGGAAGGGGTAAGGGAAGAGGAGTGGATGGGAGGGGAGGGGAGGGGAGGGGACGCGAAGGAAGGGGAGGGGAGGGTAGGGGAGGGGACGCGAAGGAAGGGGAGGGGAGGGGAGGGGATGTATTCCTCAAACTCGTCGCGTGCAGGAAGGACGCGACGTGATGGCTTGTGTGACGTGTTGCAGTCTCTGGCCGGTGCTCGGGCCCTCGTCGCTGTCGAGGGAGGGGAGAAGTGGGCAGGGGGGAAATGGGTGATGGCGATGACGGCGATAATGATGATCTTGATGATGATGATGATGATGATGATGCTGATGATGATGATGATGCTGGTGGCTGATGGTGAGGATGAAACATATGACGATGATGCTGCTGATGATGATGGTGGTGCTGATGATGAACACGGTGATGGTGATGGTGATGATGATGCTGATAATGCTGATGATGGTGACGATGATGATGGTGCTAATGATGATGACGATGATAATTGTGATAATGCTGATGATGATGTTGCTGATGCTGATAATGATGAGGATGGTGATGGTGGTGGTGACGATGATGCTGCTGATGATGATGACGATGACGATGACGACGCTGATGATGTTGATGCTGCTGCTTGAAATTATGATGATGATGATGATGATGATGATGATGATGATGATGATGATGATGATGATGATGATGATGATGATGATGATGATGATGATGATGATAGCGATGATGTGGATGGTGATGGTGACGGTGATGGTGATGGTGATGATGATGGTGATGATGATGACGAGGACAGTGATGGTGATGGTGATGTGACGGGGATGGTGATGGTGATGGTGATGTGGCAATGATGATGATTTTGGTGGCGATGGTGATGGTGATGGTGATGATATTGACGATGATGATGATGATGATGATGATGATGATGATGATGATGATGATGCTGATTGTGATGATGATCGTGGTGGTAATGATGACGATGCTTCTGCTGCTGATGTTGATGATGGCGATGACGACGATGATGCTGATGATGATGTTGATGGTTGTGGTGGTAATGGTGGTGGGGATTGTGTGGTGGTGGTGATGATGATGCTGATGATGATGATGATGCTGAGTATGATGATTATGATGATGATGCTGATGATGATGATGATGATGATGATGATGATGATTATCATGACGATGAGATGATGATGATGATGATGATGATGATGCTGTTGTTGTCGTTGGTGGTGGTGCTGATGAGGATGGTGATGGTGGTGGTGATGCTTATGGTTCTGTCGTAATTGCAATTACTAGTTATCATACTAATGACGATGACGATGCTGATGCTGATGCTGATGATGATGATGATGATGATGATGATGATGATGATGATAGTGATGATGATGCTGATGATGATGGTGAATTTGATGATGATTGCGGTGCTGATAATGATGATGCTGTTGATTCCGACGTTGTTGATGATGCTGCTGATTATGATGATGAGGATGATGGGTGTGATATCATGATGATAATGATGATGCTGATGATGATGATGATGGTGATTATACTTACGATGCTGATGATGCTGATGCTGCTCATGTTCATGATGCTACTGTTGATTATTGTGATGATGATGCTTCTGACGATGATGACGATGATGATGCTGAGCATGCTGATGATGCTGCTGATTATGCTGATTATGATGCTGATGCTTATCTTGCTGCTGATGATGCTGATGATGCTGATGATGGTGATGATGCTGCTGCTGATGATGATCTTGGTGGTGGTGGTGGTGGTGATGATGATGATGATGATGATGATGGTGATGGTGGCGGTGGTGATGATGATGATGATGATGATGATGATGATGGTGATGGACTCGGGAGAGATGGCCCCCCTCTCTCCCAGCTCCACCTTCGCCCTTCCGCCCTTCTCCGTTTTGCCCTATTGGGCCTCGTTGGTAGACATCGGTGCCACGGCCGAGTTTACTCCGGAATCTTGGTCAGAAGGCACCCATGCAGAGGTCCGAGGAGTCGCATTTCTTGCTCACTATCTCGATACCTTCGCCTGCGTACGTACTCCTGGAGCGGGCGAGACTTGTTTTGACGAGAGCCTGAGGCATTGAGGTTGGCTTTCTTGCAGTGGGCAGTGATTCTGAGCAGAGGATTTGGAGGGCTGCGTCCTCTGCCACCAGCTCCCCAGGAAGCGCCTTGGCTTTCTTGGCTCCTGTTTGCTCTATCCTGCAGCCTGTTCGTGGCATCTTGGGGCCAGATGTGCTGTGATTTCAGCAGCAGCGATAACTGACATCCCACCCTCTACCCACCACATGCAAACCTACTTGCGGCGCTATTTCTATTTCTGCAACGCCCCCTGCTGCAATAAGCAAGGGTTTTTCGCCACGTAGGCTTTGCCTCAGGGGGTCCTACTTGTGCATGCGGCCGCGCTTGTCAGAGGTGGCCCCCGGGGTTCCTCGGGTTGCCCCGCAGCCCGGTTACCCAGTGTTTCTCAGGGTTGCCCAGGGTTGTCCGGAGCGCCCAGTTGCGCAATTCCAAGCAACGTCAATTAATACGAAGCAATGCCAAGCAACGATTCTAAGTAGATGTTCAGACCAGTGTCAAGCAACGCATGCCAAGCAATGTTAAGCCATTGTTAAGCAATGTCAAGCAACGTCAAGCAATGCCAAACTCTACCAATCAACGATTCTAAGCAAATAATCCAAGCAATGTCAAGCAACGCATGCCAAGCGATGTAAAGCCACCGCCAAGCAAGGCCAAGCAATGCCACGCAAGACCAAACAACGCTTCCAAGCAATACCAAGCAGTGCTTTGTGTTGGGTTGTTTCGCACTGCTCAGAACTGGCTCTTGTTGCTTGGGAGGAGAGAAGACCTTATCTTGGGTCGCGCCGGGTTCGAGGAGGAAGAGGAGGCGGAAGAGGAGGAGGAGGAGGAGGACAAGAGTCATCAACGATGTTGGAATCAACCCTCCCTGCAAGCTCCCTCTTCATAGGCCCATACAACGGTTCATGTCCACTGACGGAACTGCCTTGTTGGAAGACAACCCTTTGAAGACCGTGAAGCATGCCGAAACATTCTGTTTGGGATTCCAACGCCACGGATCAACTTACTTTTTGCGTCTTCACGATCTTGAGTCGTGCCATAACGCCATTCTTGGGACTTCAAAACTGCAAACCAGTGTAATTGTTGCACCCTCATAATCCAGAATCCTTCCAAACACCATTTCTGGTACGCTGATTATGGGAATCCGTGAAACTCTTGCAGCGTTTAAAGACGAATGTGTGCGGCGCAGCGGCGAGAGCCACATTTTGGAAAGGAACCGCCCTCAATCTGTGAAACTCTTGCCGCATTTTTAAAACGAATGTCCGCGGCACATTTTGAAAACGGGTTGCCCTAAATCCGTGAAAGTTTTGCAGGTTTCTAAAACGAATGTGCGCGGCGCTAAGGCGAGAGCCACATTTCGAAAACGACCCGCCTTCATCTTTGAAATTGTTGTCAATGTTTAACCTTCAGGGTTATACATGGTGAGGGAGTCTCAGGCGAAATGCCCGGCCCGCCCAAAAAACTGGCCTCGGGGTGCGACAGGGATAGTTTATTTACAAGGGAAATTCATGGAGGAGATGCTGTGCTTCGATGCTCAATCCGATCAGCCAGACCGCGAGTCCTGGACTGAAGGGCTCAAAGCATTGCCTTACCTAGCGGCGGCCCAAATCTCGCACCACCGCAGCCACCGTTATTGTTTTAGCTCAGATGGATTCACGCTTGGTGGTCAAGAACAAAGTCATCGACGCCGTGTGCACCGTCGGCACACATGCTGAGCCCGAGTGCATGCCCCGTGTCAGTTCGTGCCGACCTAGTGCCGCCTCTCGTACGTCCTCCCAGGAGTATGGACGTAGCGAGAAATTCTCCGCAGGGTTGCCGCTCATCAGGCTTGACATCAGGGTCGACACTGGCTTCACGGAGGAGGATTGCCTCTCTCCCTTGCCTTTGGTGGGGCTCCGCAGTTCAGATTCCGTCGACGAAGTCCCATTGAGATCATCGCAGACAAAGCTTGGTGCCAGTGAAGAAGCGGGCCAGCCGCTGCGGCCACGAAGATCGTCTCTGGCACCGCCGTGGTGTAGCACACCTTGGAAGGCCCACGCGAAGGGTAAGAGGACTGGTTGCCTCGTTGGATGCTGTCATAGGCGCTGTGGAGCGAACTGCCCGCGTTGTCACGACCCTCGCTGCAGAGTCCTTGTAAACAACGTGCCGTTGCAGGCGCAAGTGGTTGCTTCCAATTATGAAGAGGTTCCACGTGTTCCAGAGCCCACAGTCCTAGAGCGCGCATACGCTGGCGTCCTCGTGGAGGATTCGGCGGCGCGCACAAAGTGAGTGGGGCGAGGGGGACGGATTTGATGCATGCAGGGAGCGTGTACATAGGAGTCCAAGATTTCTAAGGATTTAAGATGGTTTCTCAGAAGGCTGGGTGGCTTCTAACCATGATCGTCAGTACAATCCCAACCACGACCTGGACAAGGTAAGTTTGCTGACCCAGCGTGTCCCCTCTAGGTGGTGATGGGTGCTGCAAAACCTGCAGCAGTCCCCACACTGGAGGGGGTAAGTCGGTCAACAGAGCCAAGGTTTCCCCGGTGGGGGCGGGAATGGTTTTTTTCATATCCCGATCTGAGACGCCTCCCTGCCTTAGAAGGCCGGCCCCCCTTGCCGCACCCCTCATGCGCACCGCCAAAGGACGTCCACACCACGGCCAGCATGCCCAGCGTCGGCTGCAGGAACATCGTGTCCCTGTGAGGCTTGCGCACGTGTTGCATTCGCTGGCTGAGGCTATGTGCGTTTGTTTCGGGAGCCTTGAAACGGGGGTCAATGCAAACGGGGGTCAGCCAGAGCGCCCAATCTTGCAGGATCCTGCAGTGCCAGGGTCGCATTGACCCGGGTTGGGTGCAGGATCCTGCAGGATCTTGCAGGATCCTTCGCATTGGCCCGGGTTTGGGTGCAGGATCTTGCAGGATTTTGCAAGGCATGATTGACCCAGGTTTGCATTGACCCGGGTCAGAAGATCCCCGATTGTCTTTCCTTCGCTCTGTCGCCAACTCTTAGGAAGCTTGCCCGGCAGATGTTCTGGGCATTTGCCTTCAGGTGCGTTCCCTCCCGCTCCAGTGCAAGGGGGGAGCGGGCCAGGGCAGTTGCAAAATCGCCCTTCGCTTCTGTTGGCGCTTTTCCGCGCTCTCCCAGGACGAATTCTGCTGAGTCGGGCGCGTCCCTCTACAGGAGGAATGTTCAAAAAGAGTCACAAATAGTAAGGGGAAAATAGTAAGGGGACGTTTTTTCGACTATTTGTTGTTGTTGTTGCTGCTGCGGCTGCTGCTGCTGCTGTTGTCGTTGTTATTGTTGTTGTTGTTGTTGTTGTTGTTGTTGTTGTTGTTGTTGTTGTTGTTGTTGTTGTTGTTGTTATTGCTGTTGGTGTTGAACATTATTAATTCTAAAGAATAATTATTGTTGGGGCCCCTGGTGCACGGCCCCCCTGCGCCGCCTAGGCCGCAGCTACATTTTCATCATTTTCGTGAGGAAGCCTCAGGTAATTCGATGTGATCAAGATCCGGTTGTTTTGTTCCCCCCCGCTTTCCCTTGCAAAAAACACTATAAAATGACATTTCTTGTTCTAATATAATCAAATTTCAAGAATCCCTTGCAAAAAATAAGGTAAAGTGGACATTCGCGCGCGCAAGACGAAATCCTTCCAAAAGCTTAGTGTTCGGAGCGATTTTAACATAAAAACATCAAAAAACCAATGGTTTTTCAACAAAAAAATGTCAAAATCTCATCCCGCGCGCTCTTGCGGATTCGTAGGAAACCCAACACTTTTTAAACATTTCTGTCAAACGGGCTTTTGCGAGCAACTTTTTCGAACTTCTGCGACAACGGTTGCGCACCTGCCAGGGCCATCATCCCTGTCAAATAATACCATGCGGGACACATTCGTTTTTTCTTCGCGCGCGCACGCCGAAATCTCCAAAAACCATTGGGTTCTTAAGAATTTTACCACCGCGCATCATAAAATCACACGAATCGCACCGTAGGTCTTCGAAAAACACCTGCACGACTTTTCAAAATTTCTACCCGCGCGCGCTGTCCTAACAACTTCTGTGGGTGTGTACTCCACGCCAGTGTAGTAGCCACGGTCGTCCGCAGGCCACGAAGTGAAGTGTCCGAACGTCATAGGGCGGGAAGCTGGGTGTGGGTGGTGGCGAAGAGTCGTGTGGATATTTGGTAGAGCTTGCACTGCCCCCCCACAAAGTGGGGGTATTGGCTGGCCTCGCATGAAAACCCTGGCACTGGTGAGAACACTGAGCGTTCGGGTAAAGTGATTGTTGTTGTTGTTGTTGTTGCTGCAGCCGCGGCTGCTGCTGCTGCTTGTTGTTGTTGTTGTTGCTGTCGTTGTTGTTGCTGTTGTTGTTGTGGTTTTGGTTGTTGTTGTTGTTGTTGTTGGTGGTGGTGGTGTTGTTGTTGTTGTTGCTGCTGCTGTTGTTGTGGTTGTTGTTGTTGTTGTTGTTGCTGCATATTTTTGATTATCTTCTGTTTATCGTCCGAAATCCGCCTGTAGGGAGACATGCCCGACCTAACATCAATGCATGGCGCCACGGGCTTTCGACCACTGATGCGCCAGACGCATTCCGCGGCTATGGTCGGGCAGGGGCCACTCGTGGCTGCAGCCTCTCGTAACAGCGACCGGATGTCGGTTCGGCGAGTTGTCTCATGCGGCCGGATGTCGGTTCGGAGAGTTGTCTCACGTGGCCTAGCTCTGTTGCAGCACGTGCTGTCTTCTCCCCTGTCCTCCCTCGGCTCGTTCAGTTTCCTCTTCTCCCTCGCCCTCCCTCCTGCTCTGTCGTGCCGCCCTCCTTGCGCTTCCCTCCCCAGCCTGCCGGGGCGACGCGCACACCGAACAAATCTTACAGTACATGCGTCGTGGCGGGCGCTTTCTGGCCACACCGCTCGGCAAACGATCTGCTACAAGATGGGTACTCCAGATGTCGTAATAAAAGGGAGGGGGTCTGGACCCTCCAAGACAAGCCATTTCAGACCCCCCCCGTGGGAGAACCCTCCAAAACATCGTCCCCAGACCCCCCCAGGCCCTCCAAGATAGCCTGGAAGAGACCCCCCCCCGAAATGAGACCCCCTCCCTTTTATTACGAAATCTGGAGTATACTACATATGTTTGGGTCGGACGCGCGCCTCCAAGGAGGACATATCGTACGAGTATGCCTCTGTGCGTCCCAGGTCATGCCGCCCTCCTTGCGCTGCCCTCCTCGGCCTGCTGCTCTCTCGCATGCCGCTGGGCGTGAAGTGCTCGCGCTCCTCGTGGTGTCGGGTCTCCGTTTCTCCTCCTCTCCTCATCTCTCCTCCTCCTCCGCCGCCTCCTCTTCTCCTCCTCCTCCTCCTCCTCCTCCTCCTCCTCCCCCTCCTCCTCCTCCTCCTCCTCCTCCTCCTCCTCCTCCTCCTCCTCCTCCTCCTCCTCCTCCTCCTCCTCCCCCTCCCCCCCCTCCTCCCCCTGCGTTTTTTTGACGAGCACGCCCTGCACCACCTTGCGCCTCGAGGCCTGCACGGCTCGCGTCCCGCTCGGTCCGCGCAGGCGGGAGGCCACCTCTCGGGAGGAGAAAACGCACACAGACGCAATGAATCGTCGATTCCCCAGAAAACATGGGAAACTATGGGAAGTGGGGGGAGGGAAGCCAAAAACCAAGAAAATATAGGGAAATATGGGGAATCCTGTTACTCGTGTCTATTCATCTGTGTGTCCCAGGGCCCCTTCAACCTCGGCCATCCGCGCGGTACCGAATTCTGTCGCTCGATCCTGCCATTTGCACACCTGGATCCCCCTCTTCCTGATCCTCGTCCTCCTCCTTCCTTCGATGGAGGAGCGCTAGGCCCAGGCCCCAGCGACGACTGGCGGAGCTTGTGTCGACGCTCCGTAGGCTTAAGTCGGGCGTGTCCCTCTGCAGGAGGAGTATTCAAAAATAGGCCAAATTAGTCTGGGGACGTTTTTTAAAAGTATGTTTGACCCCTTTTGAATCTTTTTTGACTGTTCTTCATTTTTCGTCCAAAATCCGCCTGTAGGGGGACATGCCCGACCTCACGCTAGACCCAGGCCCCCGGCGACGACTGGCAGAGCTTGTGTCGTCGCTCCGTAGGCAGACTCTGATGTAATGCCGTTGGCTCCGCGTGACGTCGCCAAGCTGTAGGCTTCGGGGCTTCTCCCTCCCCTTTTTGCCCCCTCCGCTCTTTCCTCGTGAAGTCAATATCCTTCATCCGACCCCCTTCCCCGTCCCATTCCCCGTCCAGACCCCCACCAAATTACCACCCCAGTTGGGGATACACCCCTCGAAACCCGAAGGGAACGACCCATATCCCCATCTACGGAGGCAAATCGGCCAGTGGAGCCCAGGCCACGCCGCTGGAGATGGGGATTGGTTAAACGATACTCCCGCTCTTTCCTCCTGGAGGCGGAGCACTGGCTGCCCCTGCTGGCGCTGGCCCGCTCTCATGGCGCCGACATCGCAGAGCGGATTTCGCTCGGAAAACGATTGGATGGGCCCGGATTGTCCTGGAGGATTTCGTTTCGGATTTCGAGGGGAATCTCGTGCTTTTGCTTGGCCAGGAATGAATACCAAAACAAATCCAGGCGAAATTCACCTCGTTTTTCACTCGCCGTTTCGGGGTTTTGCATGGACAGGAATCCACGCAAAAACCCGCTGAAGCGCGTCTGCAAGGTCGGTGCAGTGACCGCTCTCTGCCTCCTCTGCCTGCTCCCCCCGCCCCCGTGTCCGGAATTGGCTCTGCCGTGGGTTGCACGACGGCCGCATGCCGCGGAGGTGGCTGGCTGTGCAGTCCTTTCTTTAGGTCGTTGTTGTCGTTCCTCCCTCTTCTTTGGTTTTCAGATGCGTATAACGGGGGACCGAGTCCGCGGCCCTCGGGCCAGACCTTCGACCACAAACGGGGGCGCTTGGGGGCCCTGAGACGGGCCACGAAGCCCCCTAGACGTGCCCAACACGATCCAGGGAGGCCCTCCCTCGCCGAACTAGTGACCCAAGACGCCCAATACGGCCTCCAGATGGCCCAACATGCCTCCGAGACGCCTCGAGAAGCCCCCGAGAGTCTGGCCAAGAGGGCCCCCCGGGCCAACATCTATGCATTTTACAAAAGGGGTTTTGGATGGACTTTCAAGTGTGCGCCCGAGCTCGACATGACACGGCCCGAGATGCCTCCAAGACAGCCTGACGAGAGGCCCCCAGAACTCAGGCTACAAAGCTTCAGCATTGAATCCTGGGTGGATTTCGAAAGTTCTCGGCGGAATAAGCGAGCCGCATGTGCACGAAAAAAAAGGTTATGACTTTTGAAGCGAATGTGTAAGCTGCGCGTGCTTCGGAGTGGTCGTCGAATAACCTCGGGTAGCGACGCCGGCGGGCCCCGCGTGCTTCCACCTCGTCCAGAGTGCATCACAATCATCTTTCCTCCGCTTGCCCCCCTGCTATTTCCTTCTTCGCCCCCCATCGAAAAGAACTGCGATGCATCCTCAAGAATCTCTTATTTTCCCATCTCCCCCACTCATCCTCGCATTCCTCATCCCCCCCTCCCTGTCTTGACGTTCCGCCATAGCGCCACGTACGGGGAAGGCCCCCAAAAGGGCCCCCCTAACCTCCGAAACGCCCAAAATGTTTTCCAAAACGGCTCTGAAGCGCCCCGAGAGAGCTCCAAGACGGCCCAACCAGGTTCCCAAAACGGCTGGGAAAGGCCACGACGCGGCCAGAATCCAGACCCCGCCTGCCATCACAAACCGCGTTCGCTGCTGCTGCGCGTGGGTGGTGGCCAGCCAGGGAGCAGGAGGGAGGGGGCAGGGATATGCATATATACCTATACGACCACCCTTCGGGTGATAAGGAGGTTCGGGGGGGGGGGGGAACCAACGTCTCACTCGATCGGTCTCACTATCGATCTCACTATCGGTCTCGCTCGATCGATCTCACTCGATCGATCTCACTCGATCTATTTCATTCGAACGATCTCACAATCGATCTGACTATCGATCTCACAATCGATCTCACCATCGATCTCACTATCGATCTCACAATCGATCTCACATTCGGTCTCACTATCGATCTCCCGATCGATCTCACAATCAACGTCATCATCATCATCATCATCATCATCATCATCATCATCATCATCATCATCATCATCATCATCATCGACAACATCATCGTCATCAACGTCATCAACAACATCATCATCATCATCATCATCATCGGGACACCAGCATCAGCATCACCTCATCACCATCAGCATCAGCATCATCATCACCATCATCATCATCATCATCATCATCATCGGGACACCATCATCGTCACCATCATCATCATCAACATCATCATCATCGGAACACCATCATCATCGGAACACCATCATCATCATAATCTCATCATCATGATGATGAACAACCATCATCAACATCGTCATCATCATCATCGGACGCCATCAGCATCATCATCAGCAACATCATCATCAACATCATCATCATCATCGGGACACCATCATCATCGTCACCATCACCATCATCATCATCATCATCATCATCGGGACACCATCTTCATCATGATCAACATCAGCATCATCATCACCATCATCGGGCCACCATCATCAACATCATCATCATCACCTCATCCTCATCATCATCGTCATCATCATCATCGGGACACCATCATCGTCACCATCATCCACATCATCATCACTGGGACAAACATGATCATCGACTTCATCAACAGCATCATCATCAACCTCGTCATCATCATCATCATCGGGACACCATCATCATCGTCTTCATCTTCATCATTATCATCTCGTCATCATCAACATCATCAACATAATCATCATCACCATCATCAGCAACCGCATCATAATCAACATCATCGACACCATCATCATCACCATCATCATCACCATCCTCAACATAATCATCAACAACCTCACCATCATCAACATCATCATAATCATCAACATCATCATCATCGGGACACCATCATCATCATCATCAGCAACATCATCATCATCATCATCATCAACATTATCATCATCATCGGGACACCATCATCATCGCCACCATCACCATCACCATCATCAACATCATCATCATCATCATCATCATCGGGACACCAGCATCATCACCACCTTCATCATCATCACCATGATCATCATCATCATCAACATCACCATGATCATCATCATCATCATCACCACCACCACTTCCACCACCACCATCATCATCATCATCATCATCATCATCATCATCATCATCATCATCATCATCATCATCATCATCATCGGGACACCGGCGGGACACCGGCGGGACACCGGCGGGACACCGCGGGCCATCGGCCCCCGGAAAGGAACGATTTGGTCCAGCCGCGCCTCAGCCGGAGGCGGGACACCGGCGGGACACCGCGGGCCACCGGTCCCCGGAAAGGAATCATTTTGTCCGGCCGCGCTTCAGCTGGAGGAGACTTTCTTCTCGCCCGCCCACGCAGCTTCGCCTCGCCCGCACGCACGGCACGCACGAACACGAAACCGAAACCGATTTCCCGGTAGGGGGGCTCTCCGTTCCACTTCGATCTCACCCTCTCACCTCCGATATATAGATATAGAGAGAGAGAGAGAGAGAGAGAACGAATGGATTTATGAAATCTCGGCATTGAAAGTAACTGATCCCGCGGACCTCTTGGGGCCGTCTTGGTGGCCTCTTGGGCCGTCATGGGGCCACCATGTAGGCCTTTTGAACGATCTTGGGGCGACTTTGGGGCCTCTTGAGCCATTTCGGGCCGTCGGGAGGCCTGAACTTTGCTACTGCCAACATCATATAGCAGGGAAAAGTAGGTGATTTTTGTCTTTTCCGGCCTTTTTGGGGGACCTCTTGGGGGCTTCCTGTGCCGTCGCGCATGCTTCTTCGGTGCCTCTTTGGGCGTATTGGGTCATTTTGAGGCTACCTTGGGCCGTCTTGGTGGTTTCTTGGGCAGACTTGGGGGCATCATGCGGTTATCTTTGGCCGTTTTGGAAACCGCATTGGCAGTGTCGGAAGCTATCTCCCCCCCCAGCCTGGGGCCAACCGGAGAATCTCTTGGCGAAGGACCTGGCCATTTGCAGTTGTGAATGCCGCCGTTGTGAGTATCGCTCTCGGTTAAGCTTCCTCAGGGGCCACGAAAGATGTGAGGGGGGGGTGTGCCGGAATGGAGGCGGCGGTGCCATGCGAACCCTGCCACTGGGGCCTTCGGCGGGGCTCCCGATGGTGCCACGAAAGGTGTATGGGGGTGTGCAGACATGGGGGCGGCGGTGCCATGCAAACCCTGTCAGTGGGGCCTTCTGTGGAATTCCTTATGGGCACGCGAAACATGCAAGGGGTGCGCTGAAATGGTGGCGGCGGTGCCATGCGAACCCTGCCACTGGGGCCTCCGGCGGAGCTCCCTATGGGGCCACGAAGCGTGTGAGGGGTGTGCCGACATGGCGGAGGCGGTGCCATGCGAACCCTGCCACTGGGGCCTTCGGTGGAGTTCCCTATGGAGTTGCGAAACGTGTGAGGTGTGCGCCGCAATAGAGGCGGCGGTGCCTCGCGAACCCTGCCAGTTGGGCCTTCGGCGGAGTTCCCATATGGTGCCGCGAAATGTGTGAGGGGTGCCATTCGAATCCTGCCAGTGGGGCCTTCGGTGGAGCTCCTTGCGGTGCCGCGAAGCGTGTGAGGGGTGTGCCGAAATGGAGGCGGTGCCGTGCGCGCCCTGCCACTGCGGCCATCGGCGGAGCTCGTTATGGGGCCACGAAGCGTGTGGGGTGAGTGCCAAAGTGGAGGCGGCCGTGCCATGCGAGTCCTGTTAGTGGGCCCTCTGGCGGAGTTCCCTGCCTCCGGCGGAGTTCCCTATGGTGCCACGAAGCGTTGAAAAGGGGTGTGCCGACATAGAGGCGGCGCTGGATTGTGTATATCTTACGCCACCATCGCAGCCGGTTCGGCCGGGGAGGGCTGTGGTGACCGCGTATTGGAGACGGGGGGGTTCTTCGTGGGCCATGTGACCGTCGCGGCAAAACCAGGATGCCGCCGCACACGTTTCTGCTACGCCACGTGTGTGTTCCTTTTCTCCTCCATCCTACAGCCGTCGTCCAGTCGCAGCTTTCACCCCATCGTGGCCTCCCGCCTCGACCCCCGAGAAGGAGGTCAGGGAGGGGGCCAGGGCGATGGCCCCCAGTGGCCCGTTCTAGCCCCCAAGAAGATGTACCTATACGACCACCCTTCGGGTGATAAGGAGGTTGGGGGGGGGAGGAACCAACGTCTCACTCGATCGGTCTCACTATCGATCTCACTATCGGTCTCGCTCGATCGATCTCACTCGATCGATCTCACTCGATCTATTTCATTCGAACGATCTCACAATCGATCTGACTATCGATCTCGCAATCAATCTCACGATCGACCTCATTATCGATCTCACAATCGATCTCACATTCGGTCTCACTATCGATCTCACTATCGATACCACAACCGATCTCACCATCAGCGTTATCATCATCATTATCAACAACAACATCGTCATCAGCGTGATCAACATCATCATCATCAGCATCATCATCGGGACACCATCATCATCATCATCACCTCATTACCATCATCATCAACATCATCATCATCGGGACACCATCATCGTCACCATCATCATCAACATCTTCATGGGACACCATCATCATCATCATCATCGGAACACCACCATCATCATCATCACCATCATCATCATCATCATCATCATCATCATCATCATCATCATCGGGACACCATCATCATCAGCAACATCATCATCATCAACATCATCATCATCGGGACACCACCATAACCATCGT